ATATATAGATATATTTAAAATAGAAATTAAAAATCTAATACAATGATATAAGTATAAATGTATAAAAGATTATTATAATAATTAAAAAAAGAAAATATATATATATATATATAATAAAAAAATAATTAATAAATAAATAAATATATTAAATAAGATTTTTTTAAATAATGTGATAGATTTTAACATAAACTATTAATATTTTATATAAAATAAAATGATTGAAAAGGAATATTGTGCATCATATAAAGAAAATATGATTTACTTTACTCAGATTTTCTTCTAATAAACACTCAAATCACCAAGTTTAATTTTGTTTACATTTTTACTGTCGATCTTAAATCTGGTTTCTCTGTTTTCTGCTTCAGATATGAGTCAGATGTGATTTATCTCATATCTCCTCCGGGATGTAACATCTGTCCTGCATCCCGATTGGCTCCTGTCAATCACACTAATGGGCCGTAATGGAATAATCAGCCGTTATAAATTGGGCCGTTATAAAACCGCCAGCAGAACCAGTAAATATCCCATAATTCACTAAATAAATCTATATTTGCATTACAGTGATGAGTTCTCTGTGAAAGCCCGGGGGGGGCAGAAATAACCCGGTTCTAGGTCTGTGCTGTAAAAGCAAAAATAAAGCTAAGTAAACAATCCAATTTAAGTCAGCCGTGTCCTTTTGGCATTGATCTCCCTCCGTAATCATGACTGACACACCGGAGGAATAAATTAGTTTTACAGTCGTGTTGCTGCACCAGAGGGTTTCAGGATGGTTTAAGAAAAAAAGAAAAGAAACTAAAGGAAAGGAAAAGCCCTCCTGTGTAAGTCTGGGTTTTATCTGTTCTCTTTTTGTCTCACACAGGAATGTGATTTGGACAAATTGGTGTCTGAAAGAAAGTAATTTCCTGGGATTCATGAAGAAGCAAAAAAAATAAAATATTTAAAAAAAACAAAAAAAAATTGTAAAAATATATACATATAACTACAGGCAGTAGTTATATGTATATAATAATAATAATAATAATATGATAATATAATATAATCTATAATTGACTAAATTAATCTGTTATATGCATATATATTTTTTATACATATCCTGTATATATTTTTTTCAAATATTCTTTATATATATATATATAAATACTGGCCGTAAATATATATATATATAAAATAAAAATAAAAAATAAAATAAAAAAAAATATATATATATATATGAAATTTAAAAAATATATATAGAATGTAAAAAATTAAAAATTTTCTAGAATTTGTATGAGAAAGACCCCTGTCCAAAGGGTTTAGGGTTAGGGTTGGGTTTAGGGTTAGGGTTAGGGTTGGGGTTAGGGTTGGGGTTGGGGTTGGGGTTGG